TCTGCAAGAGCAGCCAGTGCTCTTAACTGCTGCACCATCTCTCCAGCCCCGTGACTCCCTTTTTGAGATTGGTATTTTTCTTTCCCCACAGGAGATGGAAGTGAACATGAGGGGGATATCCCTGAACTAGAAGCAGAACCTCCCAGAGTGTTATCCAGTGTGTCTGAAGATACTGTCCTCTGGAACCCAGGGCAGGGTGAGCACTGGGAGGCCATGCCCAGGAGCTCCCGAGGAGCACTTGTAGGCCCATCTTTTCTTCGGGAAGATAGATTCTCAAACCTGTGTAGCACAGAGACGGATTCCCTCTTAAGACCCCACACATGCCCTCAGTGTGGGAAACAGTTTGTATGGGGCTCCCACCTTGCCAGGCATCAGCAAACACACACTGGAGAGAGGCCCTACAGCTGCCTCAAGTGTGAGAAAAGCTTTGGGCGAAGACATCACCTGATCAGACACCAGAAAACCCATTTACATGACAAGCCCAGCAGGTGTTCTGAGTGTGGCAAGAATTTTCGGTGCAACTCCCATCTGGTCAGCCACCAGAGGGTGCATGCAGAAGGCAAGTCCTGCAAGGGCCAAGAGGTTGGAGAGAGCCCTGGGGCCCGGAGGCGGCAGCAGCGTACCTCACCGGCGCCAAAGTGCCACATGTGCACTGAATGTGGGAAGAGCTTTGGCCGAAGGCACCACCTAGTGAGACACTGGCTGACCCACACCGGGGAAAAGCCCTTCCACTGCCCTCGCTGTGAGAAGAGCTTTGGCCGCAAACACCACCTGGATAGGCACCTGCTGACCCACCAGGGGCAAAGTCCTGGGAGTGGCTGGGACAGGGGGACATCTGTCTTTTGAAATCGTTTCTGCTGTACCTGTGGTCAAGTCTATCTGCGGTGCTACCAGTAACCACTGCCAGAGCTGCCTCTCTCCTGCACCCCAGTGGCAAGAATCCTGAGCCTTGACCCCACCCCCAGAGAGCTAGCAGGCCAGCCCTGGCCAGAGCGTTTCTCGCCAGTTCTGTGAGGTAACACCTGAAAACAGTTCTTTGGGTGAAATTCTGGGAAAAAAATCATACTGTGGGGGTGGCTGTTTGGCCTGAGCCCATTCTCAAGGGCACAGCGGAATCAGCAGTTAAAGCTGAGGTCCATTCTCATTGGTTAGTGTCTGGGCCATACCGATTTCTAAATACTTTGTGTATCATCCTTGTCAACTAATTCTCTCCAGAGAGAGAAAGTGAAAAGGGCCATTTCCATATATTAAAGGCTCTGAAAACTTCTGTAGTTAACTGTCACATGTCTATTAATGCAGTATTTCCTAAATTTATTTGATCTCAGTAGCCTATATCATATCACACAGAACTGGTGACTTCATGAAGTAGACTGTGGTGGACACTGGGTTAAAAAGGCAATGAGGAAACAGGAAATAGTGATCGGGCACCCAGAGTCCCCATTTTTATCTGTATGAAAGTAGTGGCAGGCCAGACGCTCCTGTGTGGGCCTGTCACCCCCTCCCCATTGTTGCGCATAGGTCTGCACCTCTCCTACCTGCTGAAAAATGCCATGAGTGACTTTTCATTCGCTATTCCACTCCGTCCTGCACACATAATATCCAGCTGAGAGCTCAGGTTACAAAGCTAAAAGATAGACCTTACACCTCCAAGCAATCCAGGCCCGCACAGAAGAAAAACCTATCCCCTCAAACAGACCCTTCTCTTGACTGTGTCTTTATGTGTCTGTGTATATGTGTGCAGGGTATTTGAAAGGAGCATGCTCAGTGCAAACTGTACAAGCTAGGAATTGTGTTCTGGGGATAAAGGTAGTGGGGATTGTATAGGTCTTTTTGTTTGTTTTGTTTGAAGATAAGTAACCTGAGTGATAAAGGGAGCCCCTGTGGTATGGTTCAGTGATGGGTTAAGCTGTAGTCAAAGTTGTACTTGGTATCACTGAGATTGTGGATTTGTATATCTGAGTCTGGATCTCTGAGTTGCAAATGATTTTTACCTGAGAGACAGAAGTCAGTGTTTCTTGTTGGTTTCAGGGAAGGTGCTCACAGATTGGTGCCAGGTGAGGGGTTTTGTCTTGTCTTGTTTTAGGTGCTGGAAAGTTAGGACAGGGATCGCAGTGTTTGTGTTTGACTTTGATAGCCTCATCAGTGGAGAAGAGTTATACTTGAACATCTCATTCTCCCAGAAACAAAATTTAGGGGAAAAGGCTGTGGCTTAGTTTTTCAGCTGATGCAGGGTAATGAGTTTCTGACTGATTTTCCTCCCAACTTTGGGAAGCTGTTCACATCCAAAACCCTTTTACCGCTAAGATGACCCACCTGGGGTTCGTGTAGGTACTCTAGCATCTGTTGGTTCAGAAGTTGGTCATTGTTTCTCTCTTTGGCGACTGTTAATACCATTCTTAGAACTTAAAAAAAGTTAAATTTTATTTTTAAGAATAGTTTTGAGTTAGGGAAGAAAAGAATCAAAAAAACATGAAAGTGGGATGTTTTCAATGCTTACATTCTGGTTTTCCCTCAATGCATTTCTCAAACACAGTTGGTGGAATTGGCCAGAGAAGCAGGAGGAAATGATTTGCAAAAAGCTGGTTAATAACTGATCTGCTCGGGAAAAACTAGGTGAATCAAAACTCCTTAGGCTCTGGTCTGAAGAGGAATTAAAAATGGGGTCATTTTGCTGACTGGGCATTTAGCCTTGAGCAGCCCAGTCCCTGACTGTCCCCTTCTCCTAAGAAGAGCCTTCCTTGGCCTGGAGTACATGTCTCTTGTTTATGTTCCTATGAACTAAGCAAAATGGGCCGCCCTTTGCAGGCAAGCCTTATCCAGGGACAGCATCATCTTAGGGTCAATGTTTGGGAATAAGAAAATCTTGGGTTTCAGTGTTAAAACTGAATTATGCTGTTTCTTTTAGCCTATTTTAATACAAATATTTAGGACAAATCAGTTCCGTAGAAAGCCCTGTAACAGAACATGTTTTGAATTACAAACCTCTTTGAGAAAATGATAGAAAACAGAATTCTACTTTTCAGAAAAATACACATTTACAGTTCACTTGTTTTACATATACATTAAGTAGGCTGGGAGCCTGTCCATGGCATCTGTAACCAGAGTAAAAGAAAGGATTTATCCTGACTCATTTTGGTTATTAATACACACACACACACACA